GAGGTGCGGGCGCGGCGGGCGTGGCTGGGCGCTTTAGCGCGGGGCCGGGCGCGGGTGGCAGACGCGGGCGTGTTCAGTGGTTCCGACTGTGCAGGCAGCTGCTGACTCGCCGCCGCTCTACCCAGGGCGCTCTGGCATAACTGCTGCAGAGGGGCTGCGGGCTCCGGCGCGCTGATTGGCTTCCCGGCAGCCGGCCCCTCTGACTGGCTCCAGGAGAGTTCCCCAGCCTCACGCCTCCTTCCCGCCGCTCATTGGCCTACAGCCGGGAGGGCTTTTCCTTTTCGGATTTTTTACAGCCTTCCTATCCTTCCTCCGGGTGGGTAGGCGCCTTGTCTGCTTTGCCACAGGCCATCTGGAAAGCCAGTCCAGCTCGCCTCTGGTCACCTCTTTTCTGCTGGCTAAGAAAAACCCCTGGAGCCGTTTTCCCATTACAGCTCTGGCCGGGTTTGCAAACCCTATTTACAAGCAGTGACAATCTGGGAATTCTCTGTATTTTAATCACCGGGACCCTTGGAGGTGGCGCGTGGCGGGGTGGGGGGTGTCACACTCTGTCTCATCTTTGAATGCTCTATCTCAGAAGTCTGTAAGCCTGTGAGTCAGTGGAGCCATGCCAAAGTCAGAGAAAGCACCTGATCCCACAATGTTAAAAGAACCTAGCTCCCTTAAGAGAGCCCAGATGACCCAAACCACGAAACAAAGAAAGAAAGGGGAGGGAGGGCACATAGTGGTAACAAAACAACTTGGAGATCATAGTTAGCAGAATGCATTAGAAAGTCATTTCACACAGTAATTCATTGATTCAGAACTACCTGTTTAAAGCAGAGTTAGAAGGCTGTTTGAAAGGTACAGACCGAAATAAATTCCCTGCTTACATTTCACAATTCAAAATCCACTTCTTCCAGATTTAATCACCTATCAGAGGAGGAATGCTTTTAATCATTGACTGTAGTGGTTACGAATCGGGCTGCTAACCTCAAGGACAGCAGTTCGAAACTACCAGCTGTTCCGCGGGAGAAAGATGAGGCTTTCTGCTCCCGTAAAGATTTGCAGCCTCGGAAACCCTGTGCAGGGTTACTATGAGTCGGAACCGACTCCACGGTACTTAACAACAACAGCAATATGCTTCTAGGAGTCCTGGTGTGGAGCTGTATAGGATAAGCACTCAACCATAAGGTCGGTTTGAACTGCAAGGTCGGTAGTTCAAACTCATAAGCTACTCCTTGGAAACCCTAGACAGGTTTCACTATGATTTGGAACTGACTCGACAGCACTTAACAACAACAACAATATAGGTTCTTAGTAGGAATCTTTAACTCATTCTTTTTATGCACCCCTGCCCCAAACCTGAGAGCAGTGCCTTTGCATATGGTAGGAACTCCATGTCTAGGCTTCCTAGACTGTCGGCAACTTTTCAGGTCTTTCTTCCACAGAGCTGTTGAATGATTCCTACTGCTAACCTCTCAGTTAACAGTAGATTGCTTAACCCTCAGTGTCACAAACTGCGTTCCCTTGGCTGCTAACTAAATGATTGGCAGTTTGAACCCATTTGAGGGGCAACCTGCTTCTGTAAAAGTGACAGCCTTGATAGTTGGGCCAAAGTGTGGTGAGACCTGGGTACTCCTAAGCCCATAGACAAGGACATAGCCATGGAGGGCTAGAGCTGAGAGTGAAGCATCCAGCTGATAGGAAGTGAGGGGAGACGCACAAGAACACCCGCACTTGCAGATAGTACCCATTTGACCTAGCCCCAATGGTTTGATTATCAGAACTCGACCAGAGAAAGATTAAAAAAACAATTTTTGATAAAGGAAATGAGGACAAACTGCTACAATTTGATGAACTTGACCTATACGTATGGGTTTAGTAGCTCAAAATACCTACTGAGAGGGAAGGAGTCTTCACATCAAGGTTCAATCCCATCCCCTCTGTATACAGGGTAGATAGGGACGGGTAACTTAGACATTGGCTACCTAAAATGAGGGGTGATAAAGGCACAAAGTGACTGACAAGTTGTCAAGAGGGAATTTAGTTTAAGAGTGTGAGGGGGAAGATAGAGTCCCCACTGAAGTGTTTTCATCTTGTCTAGACGGGTCTGGTGAAAAGAGATGGGAATAAGATTCTTATGATTCAATAGTGAGTAATTGTTATCATGAATAATTGCGACTGTCACAACTGTAAAAGTGGAAGTTTTGTAACAAAAACAGAGGAGTAGTTAATTTTACAGTCCAGAAACAGAAGACCCTAGGACCATCAAGGGAGAAGAGCATGAGCGGAATTCGTGACCCTATCCAGAGAAACAGTGACACCAGAGATGGAGGCAGAGATGAGGACATGGAGGGAGGGATCGGCCGAGGACTCTGGACTCATGGAAATAGAGGGACTGTGTGCTGGCAGCCAGGAGGCAGGCTGCAGAATGTACCCTTTGGTTGTTTAAATTATTAAATATTCCTGAGTGTTTCTGTTTAAATTCCCCCACCCCACCTCACCCCCAAAAAAGAGGGAATGGAAGCAAATATTGTTGTGTGATAATGCATGGAGGAGATTGTAATCACTGCAATGAAACGATGGAAACCCTATGGGGCACAGTTCTAGTTTATTGTATAGGGTCACTATGAGTCAGAGTTGACTCAGTATTAAGAGACTTTTTGGTACTGATGTAAATGTTGGGACTTACCTAAACCTACCCAGCAACTCTGAAGAACAAAGGCCTGGTGATCTGCTTCTGTAAGATTGATAGCCAAGAAAAGCCTATAGAGTCATTCTACTCTGTAACACATGAGGTCTCCATGAGCTGGGATCAATTCCAAGGCAATGGGTTTGGTGTATTTTGGTACTATAGGATACAAACAAATAGGGGGGATACAAAGATTAGTTAGCATGTGGTCCTTGGCTTCAAAATCTAAAGGGGAAGGCAACCAAACAGAAAATGTTAACGCTGAGTGTGATAAGTAATAAAGGCAAACAGAGTTCTATGGGGTGAGAGGGTGGATCAGAGAAAGTTTGAAGAGAAGATGACACCCTACCCTCAGAGTTGAAAGACCAGTAGGCACTGAGATAAGAAAAGAAGATGGTGGGGAAGGCTGCCCCAGCAAAGTAAACAACATGAACAAAGACACTAGGAGAGAGCCTGGCATGGCTCCCCTTTGGAAGGTAGGAGGTGCATGTAATGATACGAGGCTGGGGAGTTAGAAAAGCTAAGCAGGAGAGGTTAGCAAGGGCCAGATGATGCATTCTTGGAGCCATGCTCAGGAGCCTGGAGAACCTTAAGGAAATTTTAAGCAAAGGGTTGATATGATTATGTTTGCCTTATTTAAAGATCTCTCCAGTTGTGTTATGGAGAATGGCTTCAAGAGGGACAAGATTGGAAGCAAGGAGACTAGTTGAGAGGCTGTCCAGACAAGAAATGATAAAGACCTATAGCCGAGGAAGATTTGGAGGAGGGAGGTGGGGTGGGAGGGGTGTGAAGGAACAACCAGAGCTCTTTAGGAGATAGAATTAAAAGAGCAGAGTGACCTAGTGGGTGTGGGGGATGGGAGCGAAGGAGTCAAGGCTCAGTCATTCTTTTTTTCAAGGAACATTTGAGTGCCGACTATGTATCTGGCATTCTTCTCCTACTTCATAATTTTGCCTGGGGCTAGGCCTGAGCCTGCACTGAACATTTGACAAATGACATATCCACTTTAAAAGAAACACCAATTAAGAGTCATAATTTGGCTGGTGAGTTTGATATGTTCCACCTGTGGAGCCCTGTGACCAAAGGGCAGATTGGAAGGCAAGCATTGATTGAATTTCATGACCTCGCAGAGGAAGACATGACCTCCCCTAAATTCATGATCTTCCAGAGCATGCAACTAACTACAAAGGCAACAGTTGTTTTCAACTACTGGATACTGAGTATCTTGAAAAAAGGGACTGCAAGTTACTTTTAATATATCTTATTATATCTAGTACACTTTGTATCAACTAGAGCAGTGTATATCTCTGGTGGTATGTGAACCAATGAATGAGGTTTCTATTGGGGTTGTTTTTTTTTATTTTAATAAATATTTATTCTCATGTGTATTAGACAAACAAACATGTAGCTAGTGCATTCATTAGGATGTAGCTACGGGAGTAATGCTGTGAAACATTGATTTCCATAAAAATGTGAGCTGGTTTAAAGAAAAATGTTCAACCATGTGGGGAGTAGGAGGAACTAACAAAACTCATGAGGAGGTATGTGAATGACTAGGATTTAGGCTGGATCATGGGCAAAGCAGCCCTGAGGTTTTGTAAAATATTTCTTTGGCCTTAAAGTTTCTGTTCCCCCGCCCTCTCCAAGCAGCTACTTCAGAGCTTGAAGCCAACCAAAGGTATGAGTTAATAAAACTTAGCAGGCTTAAGAAGTGGTTCCATTTTTATAAGTACCTCTCAAAGACTTCCTAGTCTTCCAGCCCCGAAGCCGTGACCTGAATCGTGTAACTTCAGGCCCTGAACCAGGCTTTGGGGTCAGGAGAGCTGGCAGGAACACCCCTGGGCAGCTGTCCACTCAGCCTACCCAGAGACAGGATTTTTCTGAGGAAAATGCAATTCCTTAAGCAAAGTATAAAAGCTGTTGCATTACTGTGTAGATGGGTGGCTCTGGTTTAAGCCTGGTTTTTCTGTTCCTTTTTACTTTCTTTTTAACACAAACGACTGTCTTACCTTTCAGGGCTCTCTTCCTGCTCCTGTTAGAAGTCAGGCCAATGACTCATCCTTATTCTTCAGCTAGAAGAGACAAACAACTCATCTAGAAACACAAAGGGATGTGCTGATTGAACCAGTGTTTGCGTTCTACAATTCATGATTCTGGGCTTTCATGCCCAGTTGGAAGCATTTAGATACCA